CGCTGACAGTATCAGTAGATTAGACTTTGAGCGATTCGATAAACTGGTTAAAACAAAAACACAATTTACGCAACCACAAGAAATCAAACTATTTTATTGATTAAACGTATATTGAGTGTAAAGTAATTTGTATACACGTGGTCAGTTACTTTCATCAGCATATGTACACTTCAGAGATCTGATATTGTTTAATTACAAGTGTTTTACTGTACATACGTTGTTTAATTTTGATTTTTAATGTATTAATTTGGTCAAATTCTGATTGCAGGATCTGAGCTTGAGAGACTGGTCAAGAAATCAGATTTACTCATAAAAAATGGACTTCAAATGTCAACACAAAAAACATGCCATTTGTTACATTACGCATCAGTATTTATTTTAGTTCAAATTTTGATTATCTAGGTCAATGTTTTTTGGGATTCTAAACCTTTGATGAAATTGTTAGACAATATTTTTTTCTCATTTTACATTTTCAACTATTTTCTAAGATTTCAATCAATTATTCACACAATATACCCAATTTAAAAGCAATATACCTTTTTTAGTACAAAGATACAAAATATTGAAAATAATACAAATGAAAAAAGACCATGTATTTTTGTAATTACCGTGGGTTTATGTGTTGATATGAGAAAAAATGTAAAAGTGTAATAATATGAAGGCATTAATAATGCTAAAGACTTCAATCAATGTGCTAATTAAGACCAACCATCTACTCCGCAAACAGAAGGACAGGATTGAGGCCATAAATTTTGAAAACAAACTGAAGTTAGAAGATTGTTTTTTAAAGGACAGATTTATTAACATTATTTTAGAATCTTATTTGAAATTCTTTTATTTTTCTCCTTTAAGAGATAGTGTGACACATAATATTATTTTGTACAAAATCTTAATCAAGACATTTCAAGTATTCAATAATTTAATTTTTCCAACAATGCTAGCCTATAATGCCACTGGTGCTAGGCAGCAGTACCATACTTGTACTGTATATTCTTCAATAATGACATAAATAAATGAATAAATAAAAAAAAATGAAGACAGAGTAACAGAGAAAGTAATATAGTACTATAGCACTTTAATCATAATACTACAAACACAACACAACAATCATGATACTATAAACATGGCACTTTAATCATAATACTACAAATATGATACTACAATCATGACACCTCAAACATGACACTATACTTGATATAATAAACATGGCACTTTATTCATAACACTACAAACATGACACTACAATCATTACACTGCAAACCTGACACTACAATACTGAAACTATAAACATGGCACTTCAATTATAACACTACAAACATGACACTACAATCCTGACAATGCAAACTTGACACTACAATAGTAATACTATAAACATGGCACTTCAATTATAACACTACAAACATGACACTACAATCCTGATACTGCAAACTTTACACTACAATACTGATACTATAAACATGGCACTTCGATCATAACACTACAATCACAGTTAGAGGACTACAAAAAACTTAAATATCTATAAAAATGCCTCGAACAATCAACAATGTAGAAATTATTAAAAAATGGTAATCATGGTTGTTTTATCCTACCACCCCTATGAAATTTTAAATACATGTAATTGGTTTTGATATTAATTTGGAGAATGCCTTTTTTCAGAAAAATTTAAATAAACCAATATCCTGTTAAATTGGCCTGTTCTTTGAAATAACTAGAAAAACAGCAACTCCACGGAGTAGCAAATCCCACCGAACAAAACATATTATGCTTATTATAGCTAGTGTAAATGTTGAAATGTTTGTGCACTTTGTGATAGAAGCATGAAATTTGGCACAAAGTTAGTTTATACCATTGTGAACTAGGCATCATCATATAAAATTTGAACCAAATCCGTTCACTGGTATATGAGTTATCAAAGATTACGTTTTTTACGAAAATTGGCCGCCATCTTGAAATTCAGCCGCCATCTTGAAAATTATTTCTTGAACAGAGCTACTGTGTCCCTAGGCATAATCATATAGAATTAAATCTGTTCACTGGTATTTGAGTTATCAAAGATTACGTTTTTTACAAAAAATTGCCGCCATTTTGAAATTAAGCGACCATCTTGAAATATTTTTGTCGAACATAGCTACTATGTCCCTAAGCATCATCATATAAAATTTGAACCAAATCCGTTCACTGGTATTTGAGTTATCAAAGATTACATATTTTTACGAAAAATCTTGAAAATCTCTTTTTGTGCGAAACTCCTTTGTCCCTAGGCATCAGCATATAAAATTTGAACCAAATCCGTCAACTTGTATTTGAGTTATCAACGATTACATTTTTTACGAAAAATGGTGGCCATTTTGAATTGAGCGGCCATATTGAAAATTCCCTCTCGGGCAGAGGTCCTTCACTCATAAGGCATAAGCCTATAAAATTTGAACCAAATCCGTCAACCGGTATTGGAGTTATCACCCGGACACACGGACGAACAGACGGACGGACGAACCGACGGACGGCTTCTCTATATCCCCCTCGAACTTCGTTCGGTGGGATAACAATCAACATCTTTGAGAGTTGGAATCTGACAGTTGGTATATACATAAATAAAATTTAAAAAAAAACCTTTAATATTCAATGGAGAAGAGCCATTGGTACCTAAGAACAACATCCAGGTATGTGTATAAGCTGCAGCCCGGGGCACGGATTCTCCGCTAAAAGACTTTAGATTGATTGGTTGATTTTATATTGCAAGTAATTTTGTATTGATAGCAATATTTATTTTGTCTCATACTGTACATAAAGGAAAAATTCAAGATATCTAGCAACTTTCCCCGAAAATTAGTTCTAATTAATTTCAGGGTATCCTTATGCAATTACTTACCATGCTCTGGGCCAGGTTCAGGGCAAATGAGTTCACCCACAGGAGGGTCAAGTAGTCAACAATCACCTTCATTGGGTTCACCTGCACAAATATATTTGCATGGGGCACTGAAAAACACAAAAAATAAACACAAATGAAAAAATGCTTTTATATACTGCTATGTAAGTGTCATTTATGCCAAGCATGGGGCAGGTACTAAAAATTTACTGAAAAATAATATTCAGACCACTTTTTTTTACTAAAACTGTAAAAATAATGTATATCATATATAATATACATGCACTTATTTCGACATTATATCCTTAGAATCTTAAAAGACAAAAGGCAGTATGGCAAGTGATTTTAGAGTGTCACACTTTTCACCATAAATACAGTGGTTTTTATTAAAACAATATGTTTTCTTTCAAGTGAAGTACCCATTTTACTCATGGTGAAAGATATGACCGTCTAAAATCACTTGCCATACTGCACATGGTCTTTTGCCATGCCAATTAAAATCTGCATTGCTATTTTCAGATGCTGGCAATACCCATCTTGATCCATAAATCTTGATCCATCAAGGTATTACACATGACTGAAGGAATACACCGGTTTAACAGTATGGTCAATACCACTGTTTAAACTTTATCTTTACCAATGAAATGTTGCACTTTGAACAAGCCCCTCTAGAATACAAAGACCAATGTTGATTAATTACATGTGTGATGAATAACGTAATTGCTGTTATAATATTTAACCATTTACATTAATATCTTTAATCACCCAAAAGTGAAGTAGAGTGATATAATAACATCAAAGAGTCATAAGCCAGAACTTGACAACTCCAAGCAAACACTAAGATAGCCATATAACCTCTTTGAAACATAACTTAGTTTAGCAATGAGGGGTCCTGCCATAATTTTGTGTCCCTCAAATGATTCAAGACCCAAAAATAAAGGATTGAAAACTTCCATTTAAGCTCAACAGGTTCTGCCTATCGCATTTCATTACTTTTAGGTAGACCTTAAAAAGGGTTTGTCACTTTATGACATCTTATTCAACAATCTTTTAAAACAATAAAAAGTGATCAGCATTAGATCAGACATTTTAAAAATAGCATCATTTCAAAAATTCATCCAGTTTAAAGTTTTATCAATTCATGCCCGGGAATTCATGGTAAAGCTATTTTAAAATCAAATACACATGTAAAGAACATTAAATCAGCTAGCAATTTATAACATTAATGAGAGAGTTTGTAAACTCCAGGCAATTAAGGTCATAAAACAAAAAAGTAAAGAACCTGTAGCTGCACTTATTGGATTTACGTTACATTTGCCTGAGACATAAGTTTTCCCAGAGTTTCAAGTCCCTCTTATAAATGAATCTATTAATATCTAATCTTAAAACTAATCTATGATTAAATGATGTAATATAGCATAGATGGTAAAGGTGATATTTGTATTGAACAATGTCAATAGTATAACATATCATGCTTGACCCCCAGGCCCATTACCAGGGGGTTCGGGCTGACCAAAAACAGTCTTCATGTGATGCACCCTGGAGTATTGGAGTATTGGCATGGTCCCTACATTAGCAATCTAAGTTGTAGTAATTGCTCACTGGACCTTAGCTTATCTCCATATGAAGGGCCCTAATGGAATACAGCATAGCAACATCTTAGTTGAACATTTAATTAATGGTCTTTATTTAGATAAGACGGCACATATCTCACACAAGATATTTCTTCACTGTAAGACCTTATCACTGATTAATACTTTCGTGTTCTACCCCACTTGTAATTTTTTCATTTGTCTCGATAATCTTAAGAAAATGTCATATTTTTCTTGCATTCAAACACATTTGTATGAGAATTAGATCTGGGGATGACTTTGAATGGTAATTGGAATTGATTTGTGATACCATATCACATCATGATGCTTATCAAGCCATATATCAAGGATTTAAAGTGTAGTAGAAATGCCAACGAGAATCAACTAGAGCTGCAATTCATGTAATAAAGGGTACCTAATAAAGTACTTTAAGAATTGTTACTATGGACGGTTCCATGTACACATACGAGGGAAACCAAGAGAAATGGAAATAAACTTTTAACTAACTCTCATAATTTGACAATTTGTGAAGGAGGCCGGTTCAAACTATTGGTGAAAAAGTAGCAAGAGGAAAGGCTGTATTTACGAATAAATCATCAATTTCTATCACAAAGAAGTAAAAAGTTATAATAGCATAAGAAGAGGTTTGTGGTCCAGCCTATTCAGATGACACAGTACCATGTTAACATTGCAAAGGCAACAGTCTTTGAAGAACAACTCTCTGCAGAACAGGCTTTCAATTTAGGATCAAATGAAACAATGTGAAAAGAAACATTCAGAATCTCACAGTTTTTTCTTTCAGCACAAACTTTTAGAAAAATTTATTTTGAGTATGTTATGGAAACCATCTGGGTCTTTATCAACTCACATCTGAACTAAAACCTGTGCTATTGTAGCAGCGGACTCAGTAAAAGTACAATATACAAAGTCGGGTGTTTCACAACTATCAACAAGGTCAGATAACATAAAGAGGATGATGTAACATATCTTAAGATAGTTAAAGATCTTGTTATGTATATTATGATTGAAGAAGTAATTGACACAGGGACTAGTATTACTGCAAACATCCAGTAACAATAACAAAGAACTTTAGAAAGAAGGGAAATACTGACAATTGACGAATGAAAAGAAGATATATCTAGGAAACGAAGAAATATATTCTATGGTGACAAAAAGAGCAGATTGTCTACACCTGACTATACAGTAGAACATCAAATAAAATGGATTCTAATTTGACGACTTTACTTCCATCGGTATCTTCTGAAACTCCATCATGGACTTTTCCCCGTGAGTCAGCAATTGTTGCTGGTACAATATCCAGCATTATGGCTATTTTAGGCACCATCGGGAACTCTTTGACGATTGCAGCAGTGTTTAAATCAAAACGTAAAATTGCAGCCACTGGTGCATTCATCCTTAATGTGGCCATAGGCGATCTGGCTTACTGTTGTTTCTGTCTCCCCTTCACTGCGGTCTATCATTTCCACGGATTCATCCTAGGCACCATGTTCTGCAAAATGTTCAGCTATATCAAATTCACGATACTTGGGGCAGAAATCTTTGGTATTGCTTTGATGGCTCTAAATAGGTTTTTTTTTATTGTGAGACATGAGACGTATGTTGTGATGTACACACCAAGGGGAACAACATTGATGATATCAGTCTCGTGGTTATTCTACGCTATATTGAACCTCTTTCCTTTGTCAGGAGTATGGGGACGTTTTGGATGGGAAAACAGGGTAAATGCATGCTCCCTCATACGTAATGATTCGTCAGGATTTAATATATTCCTGATGCTGTTTAGCTTCATTGTGCCCTGCATCACAATGATTGTCTGTTATCTCTGGATTTACGCAACTGTACATACAACAAATAACAAGCTCCGGAAGCACAGTACGGATCTTTCACTTTTGTCCTCTCACTTAAGGAAACGTCGCGATGAGGTTAAAGTGACAAAAATGATGGCTGTTATATTTATATTATTTCTGGTGTGTTATGCTCCATATATTATGACAACAGCTTTTGACCGCGAAGTGACGATCCCAAAGTTACATGTCGCAGTAATGTTAATAGGGAGCTCTAACTATTGTATCAATCCTCTAGTGTACTGGCTGATGAACCGACCACTAAGAATTGCCTATAACAGCTTATTTCCCTGCACACGTAATCGAACAAGAATTAAGATCCTGCAAGCCGCACCAAGCAGGTCACAGGCTAATGAGGACATTCCTGATATCAGCGTATATAACATACAACAAAGGCCTAAAGCACTCGAAGCAAGAAAAGAATTCACAAATAAGTCAATGCTGGCCTTAGCCAAACAGCCCTCTGGTGATTGTAGATAATTTTTAGTTTTAATACTTAAGGAGAATCTTAACAATCTCAAATGTAATTTTCATGATATTTTATGAGTTTGAAAGTGAAATCTTTTAGATATTGATATGTGGCATTATGATTGTTAACTGGATAGTTACCAGTTTCACCATCATTGGCTACTAGGGTCAGAAAACAGGCAACTAAACTTAAATAATTAATAGATTTTGGATCAGTTCTTAATGGCATTTCTTGATGTAATTTAGTCTGTCAATTTCAAATATGATATGACTTTGACAAAATTTTGAACATTTCATGATTATAAAGATTATTTTTACTGAATTTAGTCTGTGAAATATCTTGTATTGTAATGGTTTTACTAATGACGATCGATTTTATTTGTTTTTCTTGCATTGTAAATATTCTTGAATATAACAATAAAACAATAGGCCGAAATAAAATTGTGAATAGCTATAATTTTTTGTCTATATTTTATGTTTTGTGAATAGAACCAGACTTGAGCAATTTCAACATTAATTGGAATTGTTGAAGGATTAAGCCCAAGACTCAATGCAATGTTTGCTGAGTCATACCGTGAAGGTGTTGTTTCCAAACCTTTGCATGTCCACGCAGCGGGAATGCAAAGTTTAGGAAACAACACCTGAGTGGAATGAAGCAGCTACAATGCATTGAGTCTTGGGCTTAAATTCTTTTCACACATTGCAATTATTCTGTAAAGTCATCTAAAAGGAACTAAATCACTAAAAGAACATACAGGGTGTTCCAAAAGTAACAGGACTAGTGCTGGCATTTTGTCAATTTTGCACTGAGTGTCTTCATATTTTCACAAATTGTACTTTGAAGTATTGCGACTAAAATTGTAAAGTTTCAGAAAACATGATGAAATACAGTTAGAGTTATGGTTATTATAGTAACATGACATCCCAATACCCGGGGCAACTTTTTTCCTGAAAATATGATATCTAACATTTTAATATAACTGAAGAAAGTATCTAACTCACCTAATATAATACAACATTTCTTGTTTATTTTATTAGTTCCTTTGTTGTAAAGATGTTGCTATACAACTCAGATTCAAGTATAATTTCATAATGATAATAATATTTATTCAATTTCCTGGAATATCACTATGTATAACAGTCTGAACAATTCCCGGTTGAGTTTTTGAAAATACCCAATTTGAAGCCAGTCATCTACCTTGATAGTGCGCCTGCCTGCAGGTCACCATTAAAGACCATGCAGCTATAGAGGAGCTAGGTCTTGAGGTCTAAAACCATGTACGATACTCTTCTGATCATGCAATGTCTAATTTTTATTTTTACTTATGTTGAGAACGGAATGCTAATCAGTGCTGTAAGACCTTTAAAGATGAGAATGACCTTCTCCAAATTGTCCAATCGACCCTGCGTGCCATGTCCTCAAATGGGTTCACTCATGTGTTTGGGTCATGGATACAGAGTACTACTCTTGTACTGACCAAAGAGGAGCCTATTTTTCAAAGTAGAGGATACATAGGAATATCAAATGATGTAAAACAAATGTAATTCCCACCTGTTGTTGCATTTCAACTTTGATATGGCATGTAGAAAATGATATGGGATGTACAAAATGCTTAATGTCTCTGCAACTTTTTGCATGGAATGTTGCCCCGGGTATTGCGATGTCATGTTACTATAGCAACCATAACTCTACCCGAGTTTCATATATTTTGTTGAAACTTTCCAGTCTTAGTGATGGTACATGAAAGTACATTATGTAAAATTTTGAAGACGACTGGTGCATATTTATTAAAATGCCAGCACCAGTCCAGTTACTTTTGGAATTTTCAATGAAATGTTTTGCAAGGGTCATGTTAGGAAGTCATCAAATCCAATGTGAAAAATCTATTCATCACCATGACAACTGTTGAACTAGTGACCTTGCATGTGTTATTGATATTTCACACACTGTTCATTATTTGAATACTCTCTTCGGATTGGCTGGAATCAGACACACCTTGCCTATCTATGCTTGAATGTTTAATTAAGCATTAATGTAATTCATAAAATGTCATTGTAAGTCTCACTAATGCATTCCACTTGTTCATTAATTAGACAACAACCTAAATTTTCAAATAAATTCCTTATCTAATTTGGTCAATTTGGAAAATTGTCGAAATAATGAGCTATTATTAAGTGATATGAACCTGGTTATTATGCAATGTAGGATGTTTATTAGAACAGGATCCTTGAGATAATACATAGTTCTCTTGTAATTGCTACACATGAGGGATGGAGCCAGGATCTAATAAAATGGGTGAGGCAAATTTCTAGTGATCTGATTGGCTCATGTGGCAGAAACACACCTGTATTTTTACTCCGTTGGATAAAGAATCTGAGAATCAGCATTTCATGTCTGCACTAAAATATATCCCATGCGGTTGAAAATCATTTTAAACATCATATATGCCAATTATTACTAAAAATAAATAATCATGTTTATATATAATATACAAGGCATTTTTAAAAATAAACCCGTCCCATTGGATAAAAACGAAATAAGGCGGCATGATAAAGGGTAGCATGCAAAATGTCACTACCTGCCATTTGTTACAAATCTTTATATATTTGTTACAAATCTCCTAATGGAAATATTGCGTGACATTTAAATGGCAACTATTCAGAATAACAATTACCAACTTTTTACTTTCCCAATTTTAAATTGGTGAATAGTTGCATATAGACAAAAATACATGAGGTAAAAATAAAACCAAACTACATTATTTGCAAATCAAGGCAAATGTTCACTAGTCAAAGATGTGCATGTAGCAGAAATCTTTATGTAATAGTTCGGAATTTATCATTAACACATAATGGTTGTGATAATTGACCCCTAATTGTCTCTGTGCAAAGACATTTAGGTAGACAGGTTACCATGGTAACTATTATAGAAAAATTTCATTCTATTGAGATGAATAACTGGGAATTACTTCCGGGTAATAATCCTAAAGAATTATTTGGCAAGCCTGAATCATACAATATCAAGGTGAACAGAGATCTTAAGCTTTACATCCCCTAGTGTACCCTTTGCATTCGTTTGACTTCACTTCTTAAAAGAGAGGGTACCCCTAGTGGGATGTTACTCAACATAAAGTGCTACTATGTGATAGAGCATTTTTTCACATGAGGAAAATACATTTTAGAATTAAGTCAACCCAATGCTACATCAAGCAAAGAATTTGTGAAAACTTATGAGAAATTTGAATTTTTTCATTAAAAAAGAAATATAATAAATACAGATTCTAGGTGTTACTCTTCAAACTAGTAGAAATAACTGTACAATGTAGTATAATTTATTTGTTATATATTTATTTTAGAATAATTACTTATTACAGTATTCCATTAACTGTTTTACAGAGGAGAAACTTTTCCATATCACATGCTAAATATATCCAAATCCCAATATATATGAGCTGAGAGCTGATAAATTAAAAGTCAGCTGCAGATGTCAGTGACTCTCATAATATAAGCTGTCGTCCATTAGTGTCAGATGCATTTGGTACATTAGTATTAAGTTTAATAATAAGTTTTACACATTTTCTGAAATATAAGAAATCAAGAGCCAATAACCTCCCATCATCTCATCTATTACTGGCAACAATCACATCCTATTGTCACTGCTGTTGATTGTTTAACTCATTGCTGTAACCAACCCTGAGATATTTCATCGACAACCCTGAGTTCTCTGGGTGCTGTCCAGTAATTGTCACATAATCTGGACCAGTTATCTTCCCGAATATTCTAGTGGTCACTAGGGGAACCTGGTAGGGTGCAATTGAAATATTTTGTCATTGGCTTCACAAATGGCATATAACTTAGCGCATATAGGGTGTTGATACAGTGTATTTTGTACTAAGTGAAAACATTTCAATTTTCCATCAAAATTGCCAGTCACCAGCAGAAAACCTCCAAAAATAGCTTTGGCCAGCAATGAGTTAAAAACATTTATTGATTAACACTTTTCATCAAGTGGTCAAGTTCAATAACCTTACTGATATATGAACAAAACTTTGAATTACATGTACAGGTCATATATTTTAGTTGTTTTCTCATTAATTTTCATTTTGTAATGTCATTATTTAAAGTTTTTCAATGAATATTTACCAAAATTTATATTCAAGGAGTTAAGGAGATACTGTTTGGACGATACTAATACAACAATTCCTGAATACAAATGCGGCTATACAGCCCATGGATCTTAAGTTAGTCCTGTATGTTCAGAAATTTTAACGGCTTCCTGTAACTCATTCCATACATGATCTACAATTATTTTCAGTTTTACAAAATTAGTACATGTATATGTACATAATTATACCTAGATAACTTGAGCAGAAATATATATTTTCAAAACATATAAAAGGAGAGAATTCAGTGACATACATTTCTCGTACTTTTTATACTTTCATACATTTCATACATGTTTAAACTTATTAATCCTCAACTGACCATTTATGTACTAGTTGTGGCAATTTGTAATAAAAATGTAACTGATTGATTTTTAGAAATAAATTTGAAGTATGTAAAAATGTACTAGTTGTGCAAAATTGAATGTTGTAGACCATGTATGGAATGAGTTATGTATCTGAAAGTAACATGCACTGTAATTCCAATTTGGAAGCCATTAGAATTTCTGAATATAGGGAACTACCTCAAGATCAACTGATACAACATGTATGATACTACACGCTTTATCACCTTTAATGCAACAAGATATTCATTGCGTTAAGATTTTTCAATTCAAAGTAGCTTCCTTTAAAAAAAGACGTAAGCCCAAAAAATAAGTTACCCCTCAATGTAATCAATAAATTATTTGAGTCTACATTAATATTAATGGCCTTATATAGAAGGTGTCACAACTTTTCCATTTAAAGGGTCGGGCCGTGGCACTAATCGAGCCTGGGGAACTGTGCCGGCATGTCTACACATGTGATCGTACTGTTCCGGATACATTGGATGCACCGATGCTGGTCGCGGAACTGTTGTACACTGCACCCTTATGTAACATCTACAACAATTTCTAAAAAGTCTGGCAAATTTAGAAAGCATACTTTTATTGAGGATCAGGTAAACAATACTATTCATGAGGCTGTAGAGAAAAGTCATAATTGTTCCGATACGATGTACCAAAGGATAGCGTACTTCGTTATCTATCCAAGCCATCAGACTACGAGGTAAGTAACATGCGATAAACACTAGTGCGATAATGAGCATTGTTTTTGTAAGCATCAACTCAGCCTTTATTTTATTTTCCTTTAATTCTGCAAGAGTTTTACTCTTTAAGGATGTGGATTCTGAATGATGTTGAGCTTTACATCTCTGTTCTAAATGAGAATTTTCCGCCTTTATTTTATCCCTCTGACTTGCGTTATTTCTACGCAAAGGTTTAGGAACTGTAAGACAGTTCTTTGAGGGCAAATGAGTTGAATTGGTAGCAGAAACTGTAGCCATAGCAACAGTATGTTTTGTAAGCGGACCATTTGGTGTAATTCTAGGACTGGACACCTGAACAATAGGTACATTTATCGCAGGGGAGAAAGATGTAGTGAGGACCACATCTGTTACAGGGGATAAATGTGTAGTGGGTATCATATCTGTTACATTAGATAAAGATGTAGTGGGGATCACATCTGTTAAAGGGGATAAAGATAAAGAAGGTTTCACATCTGTTACAGGGGATGAAGGTATAGTGGTGGTTACATCTGTTACAGGGGATAGGACTAGAGATATAGTGGGGATTACACATGTTACAGGTGATAAAGGTGTAATGGGGATCACATTTGTTACAGGGGATAAAGATGATGTAATTTTCACATCTGTTACAGGAGATGAAGTTGAAGTGGGTATCACATGTGTTACAGAGGATAAACCTATAGTGGTGGTCACATCTGTTACAGGAGATAAAGATGTAGTCTGGGTGTCATCTATCATAGGGGATAAGGATGTAGTGGGGGTCACATCTACTACTGGGACACTGCTACAGGCTTTGGGGACCACTGTGATGGGCATTGAAGAGAAACCAGAAGTTAATGGACATAAAGGAACATCTATTGCAACAGAGGGCCTACTTTCTTGAGCAAGGTATTTGAAGGCAGATGTAGATGGAGATGCAACTCCAGAGGGAAGTCCTGAGCTCACTGGACTTTTTAAAGATCGTACAGGAGATACTGCATGAGATGGAACAATGGAAAAATCTCTCAACGAAGTTTGTGTGCGATTGACAAGCTTGTTTGACTGCCGCCAAACCACAACAAAAATAAGAATGTAACATGTCAGTATGCCAGCTAAGGGGATAACAAATGCAAGCAACATAACGAAGATGTTAAATGAGCCATTCCCTACTGAGCCAAGTGATATAAGGCTGCAGGAATTTTTCTGGGGGATATACCCAAATTTTCCCCAGGTCTCTGTAAGTGGAAACACCAACAGAACCCCTATGAATATTGAACATGTCATCGACATTAAAACTGTGCAACGCTTGTTGAACAGTTTTTGATAGTGGTACGGATAGGCAACAAGACAATATCTACTCAATGCAATGATTATCAAATTCATTAGGGTCATGCCCCCAATGAAAAAATTCATGAAGCCAAATAGTCTGCAGAATAATTCTCCGAAAAGCCACGTTTTGGCTATATCTGTGATGCCAAATATGGGCATGATAATTGTACAGAAGAGAATATCAGTAACACACATTTGTATGATCAAAACATTTGGGATTGTATGCACTGTCTTGTATTTGACGATTGCTATAATAAGTAATGTATTCATAAATGTGCCTAGAAGTGATATTGTCAAACTTCCAATGGATCCAACAAGAGCTGCCGATGTGGGGAAAACTGCAGAACTTATGTTAGTATTCATTGTGTTTCTAATCACTGCATGCATTGTATCATATTTATTGTGTTTCTAATCACTGCATTGTATCATATTTATTGTGTTTCTGATCATTGTATATTATTCATTGCATTTCTGATCATTATATTATATCAAATGTGTTTCTGATCATTGTATTATATCCATTGTGTTTCTGATCATTGCCTTCTATCCATTGTGTTTCTGATCGTATTATATTATATCCATTTTATTTCTGATCATTGTATCATATTCATTGTGTTTCTAATCACTGCATTGTATCATATTTATTGTGTTTCTGATCACTGTATTGTATTCATTGCATTTCTGATCATTGTATTATATCCATTGTGTTTTTGATCATTGTATTATATCAAATGTGTTTCTGATCATTGTATTATATCCATAGTGTTTCTGATCATATTATGTTATATCCATTTTATTTCTGATCATTGTATTAGATCCATTGTGTTTCTGATCATATTATATTGTATTAATTTTATTTCTGATCATTGTATTGTATTCATTGTGTTTCTGTTCATTGTATTATTTCCATTTTGTTTCTGATCATTGTATTGTACTCATTGTGTTTCTGTTCATTGTATTATTTCTATTTTGCTTCTGATCATTGTATTGTATCCATTGTGTTTCTGATCTTTGTATTGTTTCAGTGTGTTTCTGATCTTTGTATTTATATCAAAAGTGTTGCTATATATTCAATATTCCAAAATATTTCTAAGATTTAAAATATATGAATAAAAATACATTTTGAGTTTTGTAGCTTATGTCTCCAAAATCTTCCAAAACTTTAGTTCGAATCCATAATGTTTTTAAGACATATTCCATATATAATACATCCAAAACGTTTCTTTATATTCAATGATCCAGAATATTACCACCCAGAGTACATAAATTAAAATTTTCCGCCCGTTACTAAAATGTTTCCTGAATCCATTTTGTTTCTGAACAATATTATTCAAATTTCAAATATTCTTTGTTTGAATGCTCGCTCCTTTATACATATGTGTAATCCTTTAATGAAAAGATTGTCCAAATTAATGTAGAAAAATGTCCAAAATGTTCTTATCTTCATAAATATCCTATAATGCATTAACCCGCAGATGACTCCCTAGAAGAGATATTGGTTGTTATATAATTTCCTAGAATTATTTTGTTTCAGTCTGTCATAAGTAATAACTGACAATTGCCATCAATGTGGAAAATTTCATATTCTGATTTCCGATACTTCTTGCTTCCTATTAACATGTCATTCTGCTATATGATGAGTGAAATAGATATGTCACAATTTTCATGATGAAACAACCATAGCTTTAATTCACAAGTATCTGTTGCACATATTTCTTTTAACAAATGTCAATTGCAGCTTTAACTTTGTAGGAGTTCATGCATTTGCATATCTCTAATCCGAACACCTCTGAATGTGAGCACTTTTTTAGTCCAATCTTTAATCTGTCATTAACTTCAATGTTAAAAACCTTGAAATGTGAATACCTGCCAATCTGAATACTTTTGGACAGGCACTGTGGTGTTTAGATTATACAGCCTTAACCGTGTTTATTTAGCTGTTTCCTCTGTATGTTTTTTCAATATTAACCGATCAAATAAATGAAATGTATGGGCCCATAAAAAATATTTCATTCAATAAATTCTCACAATTCTCAAAGTCACCAAAGTCACAACTTGCTTGATAAATAAACTTAACGTTCCTTATTCTTAAATAATTCTTCAGAAACAATGTCCTCAGTCCTGAAAGCCTTCATCAATCTATCCTCCTTGTCAATAAATCGCTTAATCTGAGATGCTAATGACTACCAACAATATAATTTAATAATAGTAAGAGGTGTTAATTAAACAGTATAGATGTCATCAAGCAGAGGCCAATAATTCTCTCCTGTTCTATAGTGGTTAAGCTAAGGTTTTGAGAGCAGCAGGTCAAAATGGCATTACAGACAGTTGCCATGTTATTTTCCTATACCTAATGAAAGAAATCAACTGGTCCATTTCAAAAGTCACCTGGCAATAACCAGTCAACCAGTCCTTAGCTCAAACCCTGGTTCTATATCACATTTTCATTAGTGGTAGACAAGTCCCAGGCCAATATGTCTATAATGTAACCATTTGATACTCATAGCATCTTTCTGTCTCACCTGAAACATGCTCTGATATTATGAGGCATATTCAGGGATCTGAGCACATCAGATGGGAAGAGTTATAACTATCAATTAGTGTGAATGTTATCATGTAATCATTTACCTTAATGTCAATACATTACATAATAGGCATTGTATTTAACAGCAGAAATTATCACAGGCACAGGTACACAAGTTTTATGACCCCACTTAGATGAAATATGAGCTGGGATGAAAGATCTCAAAAATCTTCAATTTTGGGCTCTCCTGGATCGCCAAATCAAGCTCATTATATCATGGCATCTCAGGGCTGAGAAGAAATGAGATGGCATGGTTTATCATGATGACAAGACACAAGGTTTAAGATTTACCTAACAGTCCAGAAAACTAATCAGTTTTAGATATATCAACCAAAAAATATCCCTGAAAATTTCAAATTAATCGATCAAATGGTCTGCCTGGTAATATTCATGAAACAGTGAGGTACCACCTTCACACCAAGCAATTTAGTATTTGCAACAAATACTTGTATAAAAAATATTTGTACAAAAAATAATCAGAGGGTTGTATAATATGGTAAAAGAGTGGGATAAAGTAAATTACAAGATACAAGACAGTATAGAACAACATTGGTGCCATCATTATAACTGTTTTTGTTTCATTTGAAGATATATACATTATTGTCCCAGCCTGTACATCATGATAAACGATGACATCTAATTCCACCTCAGCATGTGTCAGGTGAAATAGTACTATACCCTCTAAAAGCTTTAGATAAAGTCCCACTTCCTGAGGGACTAAGAAAATCCCAAGGTCCTACCTACTTGTAGAACCAGCAGTAGACTGCATAAAATTGATTTCATAGAAACAAATACTGTACATGAGGCATAAACATGTAAAATATCACCACCTGCCACTTGGTATAGACACCAACTGCCAAATGTGGAACGTTAACTGCCGAAGACTACTGACTTGTCTACTGACAGATTAACCAATCATAAATAGCTCTCTCATAACTTATGTCACATATACCGCTTGTATTTTGAAATATAAATGATTAGAGAGGTTCTGGTGTCAATGTTAAGAGTCACACTGACCTATCAATTGTATATCCAAAGAGATCCAATCTAGAAATCGGTATATCATCATGATCATATTGCTTGTACCAGGTGACACAAAATTTCCACCCACTAATTTTGGAAAAACTTTCTCAGTAACAAAGGTGGAACCTTCACGATTTTTTTATGTGAAAATAAAATGTTCAATGGATAAAATATTAGTGTGTTTGCATAGCATCAACAACTTGGAAATTCAAAGATATTTCAATTTCCATGGAGGTATGCTCTGACACAAAGTCCCTCAAAAATGTAAATTAGAAAATCACTCTTTCTTAAAATATACCCCAATAAGCGAGTCAATTCAAATTTGAAAAACATATTTAGTACTATGTATAAGTTAGTGAAAGGAATCCAGAAATGACTCAAATAAAAATAATGACTTTCTCTGTAAAATAATGGAAAGGATTGGTATCGATATGGTGAACTTTTTGAACACACATTTCTCTTAAACCAGTCATCAAAATCAAAAAATTCTGAAAGTTTTACACAAAGCCAATTAAATGGTCATATTTTGAATGGTAACAATATAATTTGAAAAATGTATAAACTTTTCTCTATATTGTTTTAGAAAACACATCAGACACACTTCTTTTGTTCTTGGTATCATATGTTCGGAATGAATTGAAACATATTTCCGAATCTCATTGGAAAGATGTTTTATTTTTATGTATGACATATTATAAACACTTAACAGCTTTTTTCAACAAAAAGCTGTCTGCTTTGTATGTTGTTAATTCTACAGGGCTAATATTGCCTTTGCTTAGGCCCTGTCAATGTATTATATATACTATATATGTGGAAAACTTGATATCTCTAAATCTTGTTGTTGGCGGTATCCAAGTTCAACAATTTTTTTTATCTATTGAACACTTTATCTTCGCAAAAAATCACGAAGAGAGAAAGTCATACCAAAATTAGTGGGTGGCATTTTTGTGTAACCCTGTATTGCAAAAAGACTTGCACACATCAATAGTCATTAACTTTATCACAATTTTAGCAGTTCTATATAAATACTTTATGGGACCAACTTAGTATAATGGGTATAATGTATATTGAAGCATCCCTTTGTTGATTTTGGAAGCTTTTAGGAACTACAGTTAATTTTCCATTTATTATAACTAAGCAACATCACAAACCTTTAAGTAGGGAACAATGTTAACACACCCATGATGTGTGTGCATGCTGTTACCTGGGCGTGATTACCAAACGATCAATGACTTAATTTGGCCTTTATAATTTTTCAGTTTTTTTTACTGTATTATTGTGTTAAGTGGTTTTGATTCAGTAACATATATGACAAACTTCTTCAACAATTCAAAGATTGAGAGAAAGAGTAAAATGTAGATATGGCTAAAAGGTTTAACAAAAATGGCATTACAAATCATATGATATATAACACATATTTATTAATTATATAGATCAACTCGAAGAAAGATATGATAAAATCGAAAATTTATTGAACCAGAAAATCGGAAATGGAAAGAAAATAATTTGAAAGAATATAATTACAGGTCACCTACATAGAAAGTTTGTACTTGAATGGGGAAGTTGTAAAGGATGGCATTATGGCATATAAAGTATTGAACCTTTAGCGTGCTGCCGGCGAACGCGTCCACCGAGACTAAAATATCTCTCACAACTGCCGGCAGACCCGTACGCCCAATTTCAAACTTTTAAAAACTTTACTTTTTCGCGCCATTCGTATTGTCCAATTAGATTGCCCGATTTATTCAGTGCCTAACATGACTTCCTGTTGACCTAAAAATGGCGATATTTCGAAAAAAAGTTCTCAATTCAACAATTTAAACAGTGTTTTAGTCGTTTTAAGTGAACAAATCGTACAAAATGGCGGACAAATACGATCACAACGAAAATGTGGAGGAAATGGACTACGATTTCGAGCTCTTTAGGCTCTTGGAAGCCGATAATGGTCATCGAAAATAGAAACTAGAATATTTTCTGAATTGAAAAATTGAACATTCGATCGCTGCAAATTCAGATTTGAATTCTGACCAGACGAAGGGGCGGAGCGGCAGATTTCGGAGGAGTATTCATGGTATATTTATGCCCAGTCATGTTATTGTACGAAAAATATTCATAAGAACATTTTTTTCATGAGCCAGGCCACTGTATCTTCCCTTTGTGCAAATACATAACATATTGCTTGTTTTAGTAAAAACTACATTCATATGCATTTCATGAAACAAGGCATTAACATGACAAAATGTCACCACCTAGTTGCTCACAAAATTATATCTTCAATCTTAAGTCAGATTTGAATTTCTGAAAAAATTTTGAAAAAATAAATTGGTCAATTTGAAGCAAGTTGAAAAATACCTTTTTTACCTTTTTTGACCTTGAAAAGGTCACTGAATGTCAAATCTTAAGTATAAAGTCAGATTTGAACTTCTGAAAACTTGAAGATGATGTTGAAAAAAACTGAAGTCAGTCTAAACATTATTTGTTAAAGGGACAATACTGGAAATCGGGAATAATTCCTTAGAAAAACTTCAAAATAAATCGTTGGTGCCTCAAACCTGCCCCTAAGAATGGCTACGACGTGAACTTACTTTTGTCAAAATACCGGAGCCTGAAGAAAATCACTCACCTAGATATCAACGAAAGAAGTGTCAGTTTCGTTCGACTGCGAGAGCAAAATTGAAGCTGAGCTAAACGGTTTTCGTTTGTCGTAAAATTGACCTCATTTAACTGCGCCATCTGGCGAATGAATCATTGTTTCGTGTCATATGATTCGTTGTTTTGTGTCACGTGACCTACCTTTAGACCTTTTGCCACCTATCGTAAGTTAATCGAATAAAAATGAAATTTTTCGATCCAAGAAGAAAATTTGCACAAAAATTATAAACCCCGCTTGACATAATCTTTGTCACTCTATCGTCTTCTTGATGAGGCACATCGGAACTTGGGATTAATAGCCATTCAACCAAGCCACAAAAAGTATGTATATTAGTTATTCAACATGTTCAATTGTGTTAATATTTCCCGGAACTCGGCCTTTAAGTTATTGGAAGTTTTAAGAATTGTTATAGACACCAACCGCAGATCGCAAACCGCCGTCACAAAAAATGGAGACCATAACAATATGTCTGACTTTTTGGTGGTGACATAACAAATCTGTCAAATGGTATCCAAGCAACATCCAGAAAATGATCAATTGAAAAAACACCCATCAAGTTAATATCCCTATTCTAACATGTTCAATGGGAAAACTAGAAAAACTTTAAGACAAATCGATGAGAACACTGCAAATATATATTTGATAGGCACAACACACTCTACAAGTGTGATTTTCAAAACGTCCATGTAACAGATACAACCAGGGAATGCAAGATGGGTATGCAACATTGAAATGAACAAAAGCAAAATAAGTTTACAAAACTTAGGAAAACAAAATAAATGCCTACAGGTATTTTGGGTGATCGATATATCAACAATTGAAACTGAGAAGTTTCACCTGACATAGGACTCACGGAGTTGATCTGAATTGTTCGTTGGAAGGTAACATGGTATCAAAATGTGAAGACAATATACCACCTACTGAACTGCAGTTATTCCACATTGAGTGCTGGCATTTCATAATTACACCGCACCAATTACAGGATCATTAAAGATCATGATCTAAATGGAGAAACGGAAGCAGAATTGAACTGCAGCACTAATGATTTAAAGTGAATTATTAAATAGAGTAGAACCATACAATAGTTTATTATATAAGTACACAAAAATTGATCGCACAGTGTGAATGGATAAATAGAGACTTATAATGCAAGAAAGTTATCAATAATAGTTATGAAGTAGAAAATAATAATGTTTAAAAACAGGATTCTGTGTTGTTTTTAAGATGAAAATATTTCTTTGGGAAATACATGTAATGCGAAATGAGAATTACAAACATGGATTCTAAAGAGTAGTAAAAAATTGTTTAAACTGAAGTTAAATAAAATAAAAAAGATGTTATCAATTCATCTGTTTACAAAAATGAAAACACAATAGTTACAATGGATACTGTAGATTGTGATGTCATGATTATGCATTGATGACCTCTAATCACAACCAGGCAAAATGAATTCGACAGGAGAACCATTTGAACCTGAAGCTTATCCAGTCTCAGCAAGCTACATTTCTATTATTTTTGGAATAGCAGCGCTTATGATTATGCTACCCTTAAACATTCTTACATTTTGCACAATATTGAGGACGAAAAGACTGCATAACACAACATTCTTCTTCATCGCATATTTAGCCGTAATTGAAATCATATTTGGATTATTTTCAATTATTACAATCATAGGTGTAGATTTTTCGATGAAATGGATATATGGACCTGTGTTTTGTACTTGGTTCCCATTTCTGAATTTATTATTTTCTGGAATGGAATTGTGGACTCTGATTTGCATCTCACAAAATAGATATTTATTGGTATGCCATCCATCATTCTATAAACTGGTGTTTACAAGGATTGGCGTGACATGTATGTTAACTTCTGGATGGGTATTTGCTACAGCTTTACTACTTCCCCCAGTGTTGAATGCCTGGGGCAAGTTTAGTTATTTACCAAAGAAGAACCTTTGTAGTCTTGACAACATTGGCGACAACTACAACACATTTTTAATGATGATGTCATTCTGTCTCCCCTTGGCAACCACTGTGATGTCATATCTTAGAATCTACATCACTGTATACAAACAACGCCAAAGAATCAAAGTTCATAATGAAACCATGAAAAAACCCAAAGAACAGAAAACTGCTGCAACTTCTACAAAGGACATCAAAATTACGAAAATGCTAGTATGCATGCTCGCGATCTACATCATCTGCTATATGCCATTCGCAATCGTAATCGTCATAGATAGGACAATAAAATGGCCGACTCTACATCGTTTAACAGCCGCATTTGTATGGTACTTTAGTATCTTGAACAATGTAGTCTTGATCACTATGAACAGAAACTTTAGAGCATCAATGAAACACCAATTGTGCTGTATAAAGGGGAGTAAGATACGACGAGTGGATGTGATGGCATACATGAATGATGATAACTCCATGACAATCACCGCAGACATAAAACCCACAAGTTTGAAAGATTCATAAACATTCATGAACATTCATGAACATAAACACAATAACAAACCAATGTGAAATGATACGAGTCCGCAACATGGGAAGAAGTTATTGCAAATGGTGATAAAAATATAACAATTGTTACACTAACTGCTGATAATTCAAATAATATCATTCAAATAATAAATAAAAAAATACAATGACAATATAACAAAAAAATACAATGACAATATAACAAAAAAATACAATGACAATATAACAATACATCACAATATTTCACTAATTTTTGGTGGTGACATAAAAATGTGATACAACTAGTGGTAAATCTTTACTGCAGATTGTTGGTGGAGATAACGATGCAACAATCCTATTGCCTCCCAAAGTCTCACGAACAATGATTGGAGGTTGCTCCATAAAACAGTTGTGACTGTTCCCTTAGAAGCTGCTAACACGAAACAAGAGCCATGACAATTATGGAAGGGATTACAATACAATTAATAACTAGATTTTGGAAATTGAACGAAGTTCAATTTCAGACTCCAGATCTAGACTTTTTTTAGCCGAGTTATCCAGAATAAGCCGAGTCATCCAGAATAAGCTGAGTCATCTAGAAAGAGATGGATAAATAAAATAGGAAGGTAGGATAGGATAGAAAGAACGATAGGATAGAATAAGAAAGAAGGATAGGATAGAATAGAATAGGAAGAAAGGATAGGATAGGATAGGAAGAATAGGAAGGAAAAGATATAAAGGAAGGATAGATAGGAAGGATAGGGTAGGGTGAGATAGGAAGGATGGATGAATTTTTCAATATTTTCTTCTCTACTCTTGACTTTCTATCAGGATACCATCAGATCGATTTTTCTCGAAATTTCAAAATGCTATCACTTCCGAACCGGAAGTCGGATCGAAATTTGGTTTGCAGATTCGGATTCCTGACAAAATTCTACCCCTAATTCATAACTCATACGTTAAATTTGGAGATTTTTTATTTTGACCTACTTTTCGGACACGCCATAACATCCGAACCGGAAGTCGGATCGAAATTTAGTTTGCAGATTCGGATTCCTGAGAAAATTCTATACTTAATTCATAACTCAAACGTCAAATTTGGAGAACTTTTTATTTTGACCTACTTTTCGGACACCATATCTCAAAAGTGGGTCAAAATACTTTCTGACGGCAAAAGGCTAACACTATTAGCATATTCTTGGCTACATGTATACACAATTTCGAAAAATATAAGTAAAGTGTAGTGTCAGAATCGAAAAAATAAGGAAAACCTATGAATTTGACCTAGATTTTGACCTAGGCATTTCGGTGTCCAAATTGTGAAGCTAGATGGCTTTTGAGGTCCCCTTCTTTTAAAGGCTTTGATTATATGAAGCTGAACTCAGTCTATATTTCTTATTTTTCACTTCAAAAAAATATTTTTTCCCATTGACTTAACATGGGCTCCAAATTTAGCGATTTTTGAGCTTTCAAAACGCCATAACTTCCGAACTAGAAGTCTGATTCAAATTTAGTTTTCAGATTCGGAATCCTGAGATAATTTCCTATAAGACTAATATCCTGGACATTTGATTCGGAGAACTTTTTTTGGACCTCGTTTTCGGACACTGATATCTCGAAATCGGTTTGAGATATCAAAAAACTAAATCGACCCTAGGTTTTCTACTTTTTTATAAGGAACACAATGAAAAAAACCCGGATCGAAAATATTGAAGGACGACCGAGAAAATCGAAAAAAGTGACAAAGTACTGGATTTGACCTAGTTCTTGACCTTTGACCTAGATAAAAATTTGACCCAATTTCCGAGGAACTAGATTCTGGACCTAAATTGACCAAATGACTGACTTTACTGAAAACCTTATGGTTATTGAGAAAACTGGTTTAGAAAAAGAATAATAAGAATAAGAATAAGAAGAAGAAAACTGACGAAAACAATAGACTCCAGATTTCATCTGGAGTCTAATAACAAATAAGCCAACTCTGTATTCTATAAAAGCACACATTCAATATCTTGAATTCCAAACTCGGATCTGTTGGAATACAAAAGATGGTATTATACAATTAGATAATGTACCTCAAGAATACTATGAATAAGTAAACTGGGAAAGTAATTGCATTTTTTCATTTTGGGATTTCAACCAGACTCAATAGCCCTATTTACACTACACGCAACATTTCAAGACATCTTAGCTAAAACGTTTTAGAAGAAGTATGTTGAGTTTACACTACCATTTTCAAGACGTCTTACGAAATATGATTGAGTTTACACCTGTTTTTCTAAAACGTCTTAGAGATATGTAGGCTTACTTGTAAAATGAAAAAAGCCGTTCAGCACTGGTTGAAGGACGGTTCAGTCAACAGAGCTATTCCTTTCCCGCTTCTATGCTTTGTGCTAAAGAATGCATCGATTTCCAAAAATATGTCCTAAAGAGAGCATTGTTAAAAGCATGAAAGAGAGCAGGAAGATTGTGTGCATATATTAGGATTATGATAGAACACTAGCCGTATTAGTTCTTCTTGATATTTTTGGGATGATATTGGGAACAAGGGATGAGACAAGAGAAAGGACCATGTGACACATGTAATCAGGAAGTTTCAAATTTTTCGTTCAACGCAACGCATAAAACCGGGCTAAGAGCTCTAAGCTAAAATCGATGGATTTACACTCGCTTGTAAAACGTTTTAACGCTAAGACGTCTTGGCTATGACTAGGGTCCTAAAACATTTTAGCTAAGCGCTTTTAGCCGAGAGCTCTTGAGAAAATCTGGATTTACATTACATTTGTAAAACGTTTTAACGCTAAAACGTTTTAACGCTAAAACGTTTTGGCCAAGACGTCTTAGGGCTCTAGTGTAAATCCAACAAATGAGAGTGAGATGGTTCAATACTGAACGCTACACAATCAATTCAAGTGTGAGTAGTTGCATGTTCAATTATTATTTGGGAAGAGTAGTGACCATTGTTATACATCAATAAATACCTGGTATAGTGAATACTGTACATTGAAAATAATCTGTAAATAGTCACCAATTACATGCTGATACCATTCTGAATGTTATTGTTGATCTTGTATCAATATATCCCATTTGAATTTAACACAATATGAAATCAATAGATGGCTTGCTGTATAGATGGATATGGATTAAGAGATTGCATTGGTGGGTTGGTAACTAAAAGTACTATTATATTATACAAGGAAATTGATTAATATCTTGATTTATCAAATATTTCACATTTTAAACCCTATAAATATTGGCATAAAAATAACAACAGAATTTTTTAAAGTTCTTCTTGAAAAGTGAGCATGTAATTTAAATACAGTATGTTATCAAATTGTGCTTAAATGGTTAAATATATAAATCCTAAAATCTAAATATATGACTTCAACCAGATTCCAAAGCTATATAGAAAAGCCTCTATTGACCCTGAAAACCAGATGGTTAAACAATGAAAACTATTGACCATCCTTAGACCAATTGGAATCAAGTACATGTACAGAGTGAGCCAAAAAAAGGTAACGCAACCAAATGTTTAATAATAACCTTAAAGTCTTTATGGCTATGAATCAACTGTAGATATTTTATTGTATGTATTTTATGCCATTGTACTGTATTGTACTTGATAATTGAGTGATGTGTGGGAAATGAATAAAATTGAAATATGAAGTGTAAATAGTTTCAGTTTTTTAAAATGTCGGAATTTAACACTTTGATTACAACTTAATGCCTTGGAACAAGGACTGTCCTGAAATATAGGAAAACCATCAATATTACACAGTTGAACTTGTCTAATCTGAACATCTTTGGGACCACCCAGTGTTTAGAATAGCAGGTATAAACATTTCAAGGTTCTATAACATGTATGTATATGACAAAGTTGAATTGGTTAGTATCCAAGGATCTGTGGTACAATATGGTGCACTTCTTTTATATGCCGAAATCCTGACATCATCGGGCATACCGCATGGTATGATGGCTTAGAGAGGGTCTATATTCTCTTGGATAATACACAAAATTTGATCAATATAGTGTTATTCTCCAATTATATCATAAAAGAACTGTTCTACTTGAACCAAGGGATGGAGACAACACAACAATTGTGAATCAGAACAAAATTACAATTGTTCTGTTCTGAAAAATAATAAACCGGATTCAATTCACCTCTAACACTTTATGACTCATTATTGAAAGTACATTGAGTAAGTATTCCCCGGAGACTAATAAATTGGCACCTGATGAGGCTGAAGTTGTGTTAGTATATCCCTGCACTGTATCCACATCTAGGAAATAATCCATTTAAAATATTTTTGTTATTATCTAACAAGCCTCAGTCATATTTGCAACAGCGACCACACAATCTACTATTTGTACGACATTTCTTAAGCTGCTGTGGAAATTCCATGGTCAGACGCTTTAGCAGTGTCATCTCCTACAGCAGCCGTATGGCTATTTTGAATTTGTGAAGACAGAAAAGCTATGGTTCAAACTGAATACAACATATGAAGCCCATAGGGTCACCATAGCCTTTCTACTACAAATGGCAGGAGGGGGCAAGCACATATCCACCAATGTGAAGGAAATTTATAAACATTTAGTTCACATTATGTTGTCCCATTTGTGAATGGCTCAACAGTATTGTGTTTCTCACAACATTTGAGCAGAGCTATTTTCTGAAAACAAACTTGTCTAAATTGTTCATTCATTACGATCAATACAATCGTGTTCCAACATGAGAATGACCATATCATCACCGTGGCGATTTTATACAACACTGGATAATTCACATCCTTGTCAGCGATCATCAACACCATGAATGGAAAATATGACAAACAATACATAATCACTATAGCAACCATAGTTTTAGTAAGTTTTAATTCTTTCCCATGTTTCTCTTTCTGAAGATTTTGAAGCCTCGATGATTCTGTTGGTAATTCAGCTTCTTTGACAGCATGGCTTTTCAACTGTCGCTTTTGATGGCTGACAAGACGGAATATCTGTATGTAGCAAAACAAGATACACATCAGAGGTACTATGAACGTCATGATCATTGACATGAGGTTAAAGTAGTCACCAACATCATAAAAGCTACATAAATTCTTGTGAGGGTTGTATCTAAAACATCCCCATATCTTAAATACAGCTGCCAACTGCCAACCAATGGCAAATAGCCAGGTGAATATAAGCATGCCAGTGATGCATCTCTTGTTGAAGATTTTCCTGTAGATTTTTTTATGAACAACCAAGAAGTAACGACTGAATGTCAGAAACATCAATAAAAACATCTCAAAACCGATCAATGTATTTTGGATTGTGACATACATCTGACATAATACGTCCCCAAAGACCCAACTTCTGGCGATATCGGCTCCGATTATGAACACACCAGACCACACACAGAAAATGATGTCGTTGATGCTAAGGAGAAGCAAGAACATGTAAGGAATGGTGTGGAAGGCTTTGGTGGAGGCGATGCATATAATGTTGATTGTGTTGAGGATAATGGCACAGATGACGACCAAGCTACCAAAAATTATTGTGCTCCATGCTGCCGCAGCTGGGTAGTCTTGTGGAGTGTACAAGACTTCAGTTGCCATCCCTATTGGTGTTCCAACACACAGTTATAAATTTTTGATTTACGTTTACGTCAATTTCTCGAGACTTCCTTTTGCATAAATTAATGCCAGCTACTTAAAGATATTACATATAAAGTGATCATTTTATGTAATAAATTAGTATTTATCAAGTTGGTAGATTTCTCATCGTCGTTCGGTTCCCACGCTCAATCACGGTGTTCTTTCGAGGAAAGGTCCAAAGCTTGATGTAGCAAGATGTATATTATCAGAATAAATTGTTGTTTCATATAATTTTTCATTATCTATGAGATATCCATTGTCATTCTTCCATTGTCATATTTGGTGCTCCAGATATTTCATCAAGTGTTTTGGTTACCACATCCATTCCTTCATGTGGTATACCAAATGGTAAATCCATTGTTTCCACATTGAACACAGGAATAATAGGAATAAAAGTTTATGTTGATTGTTTAGTTTCCACCTTTTCTCTTTCACATTCTGGTCATTCGGTTTCTATGATTTCCTGAGTTTTTGTCATATGCTACCATACTTGGGCAATGATATGTTTTTACTATTTTTCCAAAACAATGTTTTTAGTAACAAGCTCATATTGTGGTGTTCCCGTCGCATTGTAATTCATAACTTTTATGTTTTTATAACTATTCCCCTATACATGAAGTAACTCACTAGGTCTATTGATGTATTACTATGGTTTAACTATCATTATTACATAAATTGATGATTCTTGTCCAATGCTTCAGTTTTCAACTAACACATTACCAGGTTAAGTTAATTTACCCATAGATTAATACTAGATTAATACCCATTAAAATTATGTAAGAGTCGATTGGTGTCTGTTTACTAAGATCTATCCATAGTCCTATATGACTAAAGTCATTTGTCTTTGTCATAATATTTACAACCATATTATGTAATTCATTATTATAACCACCTTGCCGGACCAGTTCTAGGCGTTTTAGTGCTAGTTTAGAAGGCATTCATTTTACTATATCGACCTGAGCAATATGTGACGTCATAGTGGCAGTCCATAATGCATGAATGGCGGTCAATAATGCAATTAATGCCCGGCAATTTTCCCCGGGATATTAGATATCACCCTCGGTCCAATCTTCGGCCCACGGTCCAATATATCACTATATTGCCCTTTGAAATGACGTTATTGTACTATTGCCTGTTTTGAGTGTGTTCAGTTTAGTCACGGAGGGTAGATATTTGTTCTAATATAAATGGTTCTCATTTTTCACTATACTTTCATATAAATAGTTCTATTTTTTCACTATACTTCCATATAAATTGTCCTCTTTTTTTCACTATACTTCCTTATAGATGGTCTTCTTCTTTTCACTATACATGTACTTCCATATATATGGTCCTCTTTTTATCGTATACTTCCATATAAATGGTCCACTTTTTTCACTATACTTCCATATTAATGGTTCTCTTCTTTTCACTATACTTCCATATGTATGGTCCCCTCTTTCACCAAACTCGCATAAAATGGTTAAAATTTTTCACTTTACTTCATGGTCCTCTTTTTTCACTCGGCTCCCATATCGATAGTTTTTTTGTAAATTCAGCTCCCATAAAAATGGTCATACTTGTTCAGTAAGGCTCCAATATAAATCTTGTATGTTCTCTCACTTTACTAATTGGCAATTATCATAAGTACATAAATCATGCTTTGAACTTAAGTGGTGTTTCCTTAATGTAAATTCCAAAGTGAGCAAAAAAAGTCATGGAAAAATAGTGCTATGCTAGTCCTACTGAATGATTAAATAGCAGACATAAAAAACATTACATTTGTTGTATCTCAGAACAACCAAATTGTGTTATTGTGTTTTAATGTTGCATTTGGTCAATAGGTGGCAGCACGGAACAGACAGTTTCGAGACTATTGTACCAAGATGGAGATTTCTAAATAGTGAAATATATTTGAGAGTAAAACCATATTTTATGTAGTTTATTGGATATACATGAACATAAGTTATCACAACATTGTCATCTGATTGAACTCATGCCATTCTTGGAATCAGACTTAGCTCCCCTTAAAAAATATTTATTTGGTTATCTTTAAGAATAAATTTTCTGTGCAATATTTGCAAATGTTATGACAAAAATAGCAAATTGAGGTTCGAAGTTATGAATTCCTTTTGGAAACGTTCCAGCCCATGCCCTTATATGTAGAAGTGATAATTTCCCAAAAGATCAGCTGAGCTTTTTGAACCTTATTGCATCTTGCATCAAATGTATCCATTCTATAGTGAATCTAATGATTGAACATAGGAAAGTGGGAACTGACAATAGCTATTAATTGATGGTTTATATAAATACAACTAGCCCTATCAATACAAATCAACTCTTGTTGACTTTCAGTAATGGAATGTTTTGCCAATACAAGTGGGAATTTTACTGCTAATGAGTAAATCTAAACTAGAAATCAGCATCTCTATGGAGTAGCAAATCCCAATGAATGCTATATTCATGAATCCCTATATGTCACAATGAAATATTTACCATCTAATCTAGCCTTGAGTGCACATCAATTACGAACAGGACAGATGAATGATTGGCTGGCTGGATGAATGGATGGATGGATAGATGGATGGATGGATGGATGGAGGGAGGGATGGATGGATGGAGGGAAGAATAGATGCATGGATGGATGGATAGATGGATGGATGGATGGATGGAGGGAAGAATAGATGCATGGATGGATGGATGGATGGATGGATGGATGGAGGGAAGAATAGATGCATGGATGGATGGATGGATGGATGGATGGATGGATGGACGGATGGATGGATGCATGGATGGATGGATAGATGGATGGATGGATGGATGGATGGAGGGAAGAATAGATGCATGGATGGATGGATGGATGGATGGATGGACGGATGGATGGATGGATGGATGGATGGATGGATGGATGGACGGATGGATGGATGGATGGATGGATGGAGGTATGGATGGATGGATGGATGGAGGGAAGAATAGATGCATGGATGGATGGATGGATGGATGGATGGATGGATGGATGGATGGATGGACGGACGGATGGACGGATGGAGGTATGGATGGATGGATGGATGGATGGAGGGAAGAATAGATGCATGGATGGATGGATGGATGGATGGATGGATGGATGGATGGATGGATGGATGGATGGATGGATGGATGGATGGATGGATGGATGGAGGGATGGAGGGATGGATGGAAATGGATGGATGGACAGTTGGGCACAAACCTTCTCTATATCCCTACTCAAACTTAATTGAGTGGGATAAAAAGACTTCCTTAATCTTAGAAGACCTAATTCTTTCTCCGACAGATACTCTTTCTCATTAAACTGTACTTCAGTAATCTAAGACAAACTGGACCTTGAACTTCCCATTTTAATAATAAGTCCCAGATAATAAAAGGCACAGATAAGTGTTAAACTTCATTTGAAAAACAACAGCTCCATTAAAATTATAAAATTTTACTATAGTACTAGTAATAAACAATATTGCAAGATTATGGGTTTCATAAAAATTGGAATTGTAACGTTTGTTTTTGTTTTGCTGTCTTCCACAGTGGTGAGTATAAATGTATATTTTAACATATAGTTCTGTTTTTTTAGAGTGAACTGAAAATATATCAAAAAATTAACTATTTTTTCATCTTTAAATTTGAAGAAGACATTTGGCTGAGACCAATGTGAAACCATTTACATGATATTTTTTGAATCACACAGAACAATGAATACCATAGCAACTAATGTTATAAAATGTTTATCTGCTTTGAAGTCAAGTGCATCAACAAGGTCTAAGAGAAGCATTCTGGACTATGGCAAATGGTGTGGAAAACGAAACACAAAGCTAGGCGCATCGGGGTGTAATTGCGAGGCAGGAATAGAGAAATGCAGGTAAAAATCTGGTCTTGGATAAAGTCTCTGGGGGTGTTTGAGAGGGTGGGGGTGTTAGAGAAGATGGGGGGGGGGGGTCTTGAATTAAGGCCCTGGACCTCCCCCCCCCTTATCTACTCCTCAAGGGGTAGAGGGGTGTTTGAGATTTGAAAGGGAGATTATTGGCCTCTATTTGGCTTTTTGAGTTAAAAATTCTCAGAAAAATACAAAAATAAATTGGTGGTTTTTATAGATGTCATGCCAGTTAATGCATTACTGACGCTATATTGTATCATTTCAGAGAGTTGTACCCTCCAATAGATGAGCTAGATAAAGTATGTTTGTCACATGACTGGTGTAGCCGTTGCCCCAGCAACCCCACAGTCGAGAGCTATCGTCCCCTACACTGGTGCCAATGTGAGCGTGACATATACACTCGTGCTGATCGCGCCACCTGTCGTACACCTCACTGTACCCTGTACAAAGCAGCAGTGAAGTTTGTATTCAAGCATTTGCCATGTGTTTGTGAGAAAAAGAAGGAGAAATGCATGAAACGGTGCACAAGGACAATATGGGGGAGAGAGGTACGCTATCCATGCGGACTTGTTACGTGCGAAAAAACAAGAGTAGTGAGGAAATTCTCAAAATGCCAAAATATGAGTTAAATACAGTAAAACCTTTTAAGGGGAACACTTTTGTATGTAAAACACGAGTCTCACTGTAGAGCGCAATCAAATGGAGCAGTTTTTAAGGTACTAAAGGCATTCTACTGATTTACTGTACCATTGCAGCAAAACTTAACTATGCCAACCGGGGGAAGAATTGCAAATATAATATTTCATATAGGAGAAACAAATTATTGAGAGTGTTTATTCAAGAACTTGGTGGTAAATAATTGTTCTAACATCTGATGTATCAATCTGAAAACCTCGCTTATTAAAAGATGGCAGCATTGCTGTAAATATAGGCTGATATCTTTGTATGAGTGGTTTCAATAACATGTACTTGTAATAACAGACAAATGCCCATTAGCACAAGATGACAATACATGCATTGCAGTTTTTCAGAGTAATGACAATACATACATTGCAGTTTGTCAGAGTAATGACAATACATGCGTTGCACTTTTTCAGAGTGCAATAAAAATGGTTATATATTATGAAATGGCTCAATTTTTTGAACCAAAAAGCTCAACCTCTCTTTATGTAATTATCAGGCCTGGGAAGTGTTCTCTAGAAAACTTATTTATTTATAAAAAGTTATACTGTAATAAAACTAATTAAAGTGAATAAAAACAAAATAAAACAACATATTTGTTGCCTTTTAAAAACACACTCATTACTCATTTGTCTAAAATGTTAAGTAAAGAAAAAAAGATTTTTGTTGCACCTAACAAATATGGTTTCTTCATTATTCTCTGTTCTTGCATCCAACGAACTCAAACACGTACATCGATCTTCTTGGAAGAAAGGAAGAAGTAAGGAGTGGAGTACATAGTCTCTCGTCTTTGATCTGTACATGAATCTGAATTAATGGTAATAAAATCTGTTGATAAAAAGAGAAACACAACACTCAAACTTCTCCATATGTAGAAATACCTTAAATCATTTTCTCAGATTGGTAAAAATATGTTAGCACAATGTTAAAGGGGAAACACCAAAAGGAATCCAAAACACATTGAGAGGAGAACATTTAAAATCTCACTATGCATATTTTCAACATTTTTTGGCAAAATAAAGACTTACTTTTGAACTTCACAGTATTTCCAATGGATTGATAAGTACTTTATCTTTCATTAGACATCAAAACAGCTCGAACGGGCCACATCAAAGCTTACAATAAATTCTTA